TATAGATCCCTCTCTACAACATGGTGAAATCTAAGGTTGGCTTCAAACCTTACCTGTGGGACAGACTAGTCCTGTTGAGGGATGGCCACAGTAGAAGCCTTTTCTACCTGGGTGAATGTCACATCCCCAGCAGGTGCTCCATCTGCTTGTTGCTCTTGGCTAGGATCAGAAATTGCATGAGGTCTCTGAGGTCTCTTCCAACCCTAATCTTCTATGATTCTATGATGCACAACCTCAAGCTCTGTCTCTTAGAACAGTTGATGAGAGGGACATCTGACCTGGGAGTTCCAGGGCCAAGCACTCTGGTACTGATGAGACCAACACTGGTCAGAGCCGGAGTGCGGTAGGGCTATGTCCAAGACCATGTCGGAGAAGTCAGCACAGAGCAAACCACTGGCATGTCTTTGGCCTTCACACCAACTCCGGCACTGTCCATGGCAATAATGTCACCTCAGACATCCATGTCGAATGCAGCTGCTCAAACATTGTAACAGGCTGAGAGGGAATGATCAGAACACTGAGGTCAGGGCTTTAGGAAGAGGTCCATGTCCTCCCGTGCCAGGGAACACAGAAAGAGCTCTAAGGCAAAGCCGTCTAAGACTCATCAGGCATCCCCAGGTGAGAAGGAGCAGCATATTCCACCGGCGGAGCATCAATGATGATCTTGACCTTGGTACAGACACTACGATCTGGAAATGGCTTAGTTCAACTAAGAGATGCCAACCAGTAGCTTGGAAGGTCCCGATGCCATCAGAGATGCCACCATCAGCACCACTTATAAAAGAGAAATAATCATGGTCGCTATCGCTATGGCACACATTCTCCCCGACATTTGTTAGGGAACTGTCTCCAGTATGGTCCTTCCCAACACTGGAAGATCGGAGGAACCCTTTGTCCCACAGCCATAGGAGTGACAGTGGCTCAGCCAGCATTCACCCTACCTGCATGGGCCATGGTGGCAACAGTGAGATCCCCATCACCCAGTTACTAGAGGAGCAGTGATCTGAGGTGCAGAGACACCTACACACAGCTTCTCCTCCTCATCACCAGAGACTTCTAGACCCTACCACAGTGGTATGGCTGACACTGACCACTGCACCTCCATTAGAGAATGCTGTCAGGTGCCAGAGTATTTTTACTCTTATCCTAACCTTGGATCTCTGGTGGTTTGCATTAATTCTTATGGGGAAATTGGATTCGCTTAACATCGTTTCGCTTAAACTAGTATTTTTCAGGAACATAACTACAACGTTAAGCGAGGAGTTACTGTAGATATATATGGTCGTTTTCTAAAAAAGACTACACACACACACACACACACCCTGGCCTAGTGCAAAGATGAGGCTGGGGGCTGGAGACTGAGTTTGCTCTGGATTCATCCCACAGCAGTAGCTCCTGTCTTGCAAGGCTGGTCACGGCTCCCTGCTCAGGTGTTACACCCTGAAGCGCAGAGTCGCAGCACAACTCAGGTTTGGCCCAGCCTCCTCATGAGCCCAGCCTCCCCTGAGTCAAATTTGAGTGAGTGGTGTTGCAACTTGGCACATGAGATTTCATTGTTATTCAGTTTTGGCCTGGCCATCATGATGGTGGGTTGGCTGGGTCAAACCTGAGTGGCACTGCAACCCTTTGCTCCAGATCACAATACCCAGAGTGGGAAGCTGGGCCCAGCCCTTCAGGACAGGAACCTCTGCTGCGAGGTGACTTCAGGATGGGCTCTCTCTCCCTGGGGCCTTCCCTCCCACACTAGGCCAGGAGATGTGTATGTTTGCCTAAGGCTCCAGGACCCATCTAGAATCTTCCAACAACGCACTGGTGGGTAGGGACCCACCATTCGGAAAATGCTGTCTAACCCCTCAACCTCATACCCTGCCCCATCCTCATGGCAGCAGATCTGACACATGGGTTGAGAGCTACACCAGAACTAATCACTCCAGGGCGCTGTCTGGAAAATGCTTTGCTCCATTCCATTATGCATGGTCAGACATTACCATGGATAAGTGGGTACTGGAGATCATTACCCATGAATACACCATCCAATTTCTTTCCATACCTATCTCCCTCCCCTGTCTTCCTTCAGCAACCCTTCTCACAAGAGCCTTTTACAAACAGAAGATACTTGTTGCTCTGAACAGGAGCAGTAGAAGTAGTCCCACAGGAATAAAGGGGAAATGGATGGTACTCCCAGTATTGTCCCATTCCGAAGAAGAAAGAGGGTCTTCATCCCATTCTCAATCTGAGGAGACTTCAACAGATACATGTGCCACCTCATATTCAGGATGGTAACATTTGCCTCCACTTGATTCCAATGCTCCAAGCCTGGAGCTGGTTCGCAGCTCTTGACCTACAACATGTGTACTTCCACATTGCCATTCATCTGGCCCACACGAAGTACCTGAGATTCACGGCCAGGTCAGATCACTACCAGACTCCAGAGTCTACCCTCCAGACTCTCCATAGTACCAAGAGTATTGCAATGGTGGCGGCAAACCTCAGGAAACATATCTGGCCACATCTAGACGATTGGCTGATCTGAGGTTCATCCTCGGCTGAAACTGTAGCAGCAGTACAACAGGTATTATCTTAATTTTCTCAGTCGTGACTCCTAGTGAGATATGAAAAATTGTCTCTCATATGATAGAATACCTAGGAGCCCTGCTTGACTCACAAGCATGAGCTTGCTTACTAAATGATAGATTCTAATCTATTCACTCCCACATATTCAAATTACTGGCAAAACTGCTGACCACAGTGCATGCCTGTCTATCCCTGGCTCCATCTTGAATGCTGCTGGTGGATGCATCAGGGAGGGGTGGGGAGGCTCATTTGGGTCACTTCCAGGTACAAAGGCTTTGGTCCTTAGTCAACCTTAAACTCCATATGAACCTCTTAGAGCTAAAGTGGTAAGACTGGCCTGCATAGCTTTCCAATATGCTCCCCAGGACTTAGTAATGCAGATCATGATGGACAACACATTGACAATGCACTACATCAACAAATAGGGCAGCATCTCTTCCCATTTATGTCAGGAGGCCATCGAACTCTGCAAATGGTCCCAGCTACATGAGGTGACCTCAACGGCCCCTCACAGTGTTGCCAATGTTGGTGTTACTGTGGTTTTAAGAGAATGAACAGAATATTCAGGTGGACTGAAACTATAAAAAGGAGGGGTAAACACCCCAAAGGACCTCTCCTCTCTTTCCCTGTTCACCTCTTTTGAGAAGCCAAAAGAAGCAGCCTTTCGACTCTGGGGGAGGAGTCCTGACCTAGAGGTTGGTCAATAAGACTGCTGGAAGCATGTAGTGAGAAACTTTGCTTGAATCTAATATAGTTCATTACGTTAGGCACTAGAAAGCATTTTATCTTTTTTTCTTGTAACCATTTCTGACAAGCCTCATCACTTGTATTGCCGTAAAATCCATCGCTTTGTAGTTAATAAACTAGTTTCAGTGTTTTATCTAATCCAGTGTGTTTAAGTTGAAATGTCTGGGTAACTCCATTTAAGGTGGCAAGTGGTTGTATATTATTCCCTTAAAAGAATAATGGATTTAATATATTTGAATTGTCCAGGAGAAGGCTGGGCAGTACAGGACATACATTTCTGGGGGAAAATCCAGGGCTGGAATGTATTGTGTCATCCTGCAATATAACCAAGGCTGGTGAAAGCCAGGGTGTAACAAACACATCTGGAAGTGATCTGCATGCTGGCAAGCTGTTTGTGAGCGTCCAGGTTGGGAGCTACAACAGTAAGGCATTGCAAGGTATTCCAGGGAAAGGGTGACACAGCTCCCACTGGTCTGGATTGCACCCCAGTATGTCACACCTGTCTTTATTAGTTGTCTCAGCAAATGAGAAAATTAGCCATATAGATCTCATAGAACCATCCTGACTCATAAAGATGCCAAGAAGATAGATTTTGTAGAGTGGAAGTCACACTCGTGCTATCTTCTAGGTGAGAGTGACAAATTTCTAAGATCTGCTGGTTTGGTATGATTTCTAATTTGGCATAAGATTACTGCCTCCTTAGCCAGTCTTCCTGCAGAATGGAAGGAGATAGTTTCTGAAAACGAAAATGTTGAAAAGTATTCCAAATGATGCCTGATCTGTAGCCATAAACTATTAATATGAGCAAAGCTCCTTTATGGAAGTGCAAGGTCTATCAGTACATGCAGAATAAAGGGGAAGACTTCCCAGTTGAAGGGCTGGATATCTTCATAATTTTTGCATGTTAGTGTTAATTGATTTATTGTATAATCTCCAGTTAATGATTTTAGGTCAAAAGGAAAATGGTAGATATGCTAATGATGATGAAATCAGCCATTTGATTTTGTTTTTTCCTTTCTTTGACACTTGTGTATGTGCTGATAGTTAATAAAGTAAAACATTAATGCATTTTGTGAAGAAGGCTGACCCAATGGTTAGAGTGCAAGACTGGAATTTGGGACACTCAGGTTCAATTTTCTGCTCCACCACAAACTTTTAGTGTGACCATGGGCAAGTCATTTAGGATACATCTGCAGTGTGATAAAAAGCCTGTGGTGCTGAGTCTCAGAGCCTGGGTCAGTTAACTTGGGCTAGTGGGACTAACTATAGGAGCGTAGAAGTTCAAGCTTGGGCTGGAGCTCGGGTTCTGAAACCTTACAAGAAGGGAGGGTCTCAGAGCCCAGACACAGATCAAGCCCAAACATCTACACACTCATTTTTAGCCTCTCAGCCTTAACCCTGCGAGTATGAGTCAGTTAGCCCAGGCTCTGAGACTCAGCACTGTGGGTGTAGACATACCCTTAGTCTCTCTGTTTCAATTCACCATTTGACAAATGGAGATAATAGGAAAGTACTATCTCACAGGGTTGTTGTGGGTGTAAATATATTGAAATTTGGCAAAGAGCTCAGATACCACAGTAATGCGTGCTATATATGTAGCTGATATAAACAGATTAAGTACCTAAGATAGATCTGAACCATGAAAGCATTTACTTATTTTTCTTGTTCATTGTACACAGGAATCTCTTGATGAAGTAACTATTAAAGATACCTTGGAGGGTGACAACATGTATACCTGCTCTCACTGTGGGAAGAAAGTGCGGGCTGAAAAAAGGTATAATAGTGAATAAACAAATGTTCTTAGCATTTTTAATTATTAGTTCCATTAATTTCTGTTCGTAGCTTCCATCAAGTGAGAGTAGTAGTCCAAAAATAATCTAAGGTGTCACAAGTACTCCTGTTCTTTTTGCGGATACAGACTAACACGGCTGCTACTCTGAAATCTAAAATCATTATAATTATTTAATATTTAAATAACAATAAAACTGGAGACCCAAACAGGATCCTGGCCCCACTATCTAAAGCACTGTACAAACATATAAAGATGTGATCCCTATCCCAAAGAGCTTACAATATAAAAATAGAATGACCGACATAAAACATTTTAGGAGAAGGGTCACCTACTCCATAATGCCTGCCTTTCTAAAACTAGCCTCAATGCTCTCATTTTTCATCATAATCCTCACTGTTCCTTTTGTAGAAACAAATCTGAATGTATTTTGAACTCATTTACTGTATATGTTTTTGATCAGTCAACTTTGTTGGAAGTTTATTCCATATTTTTATTACTCTTTACACAAAGTGATAGGGTTCTTTAATCTTGATTTCTGCTTTTAAAATTGTTCAGTAGCTTTTGGAACTTTTTAAAATACATAAAGAAAGTATGTGTGTTATCTGTATCCTCTTATTTTATTTTTAAAATCTTCACCTGACATTGGAAGCCTCACAGTTGTTTTTTGAAGTGATTATAAGTGGCAAAGGAGAAAGGTTCCCTACCGTCAGCTGTGTTAGTCTGTATCAGCAAAAACAATGAGGAGTCCTTGTGGCACTCTGATGAAGTGGGTTTTAGCCCACGAAAGCTTATGACCAAATAAATTTGTTAGTCACAAGGACTCCTTGGTGTTCCCTACTGTAAATCTTATAAATATGTTCTGGAGCCCAAAGATTTTAGCACAGAATATGTTCTGCATTGAAATATGTCTACAAGAAAGAGTTTTGTACATAGATATGAGTGGTGATGGCAGTTTAGCAGTGTAGTTAGCAGATATTGGTGCCAGGGTATGCAAAAAACGAGGCTTAGAACCTAATAAGTCAACTATTTTTTATTTTTGCAAGTAAAAAAGGGCCTAGTCTTTGTTAATGACTATCCAGATTGAAAAATTCAGATGATAGATTTCAGCCGTGTGTGACTGGAATGAGAAAAATACAGATTTACACTATTGGAAAAGTGTTTCCTCCATCATCTTTTCATAATTCAAAAATACTGATATGATTTATTTAAAAAATGAAAAAAATCCTTGGACTGAGACCAAGCATGGAAAATATTCATCAGAAAAGATTATTTTTTTCAGATTGTAAACGGAATGTGAAACAGCACACAAAACAGAATCATTATTCTTTATAAGAAGTCCCTGATATAATCTTTACCGTAGGGAGTGCTGTTATGTGCTTACTGTAATAATGGCTGCTTTAAATCGGTATTCTATCCAATACCATAATGTAATCCCTGTTACATGTCATCTGATGACAAGATATTTTATAAAATGTGGCTAACTGATACTGTGTAAGGGATTGTGGTAGCTGATTTTTACATTTTAGGTGACTATTTCTAACATGAGCTGGAAATGAATGACAGGAGAGATTTTTGTTGTGAGAGATTTTGTGGCAGTATTATCTAAGCAATTCAGTTTTCTTAAATATTAATTTCTTTTGTCGTTAGGGCATGTTTTAAGAAATTGCCTCGCATCTTAAGTTTCAACACTATGAGATACACATTTAATATGGTCACCATGATGAAGGAGAAAGTCAACACACACTTCTCATTCCCTTTACGTTTGGATATGACACCTTACACAGAAGATTTTCTCATGGGAAAGAATGACAGAAAAGAAGGTAATTGATTTTGCTTTGTCCCTATAGTTTTCCAACGGCCAAACAGTGCTGAAAATTCAACCTTTTGAAAATTTTTGTCTAGTAGTATAATATATTGTCAGTTAAACTGCATAGCCGAGTGGCCCAGGGCATATGGTGAAATTCATGGAAATTAAGCTCTAAAAAGTCATGGAATAGTAATATTTCTTAGCAATACACAGAAATCCAAATAGTTAATAATTCTAAACATGTCTTTCATGTAATTAATCCCACATCTTTCTGTCTTCTCCTTCATGTGAGGTTAAAAAAGCAGCTAAAGGCTTATGAAGCCTATATTTTTATTTGTTTACAAAGAAATTGTAATTTATTGTATTTAATATCCAATGACTGCTAAATCATTTTCTTTGTAAATACAGCACAATAACCAATATAAATTATTGATAAAACTATTTTTATAATGAATTATAAATTCCTGGCTTGTTATGTATAGATTGTTGTTGATTTGTTTTATATTTGCAGGATAATATGGTGGCCAAATTCTTGAACTTTATTAAATGGTCCACCAGTAAGGAGCATACATAAACTGCAAAAGCATTACTATGTATGCCTGTATTCTGGGTCAGAAGCAACCTCACAAGAATAGTGACCCATGCTCCACCTGTTGAGTGTTGGCTTTCTGGCTGCTACCTATGTGCAGTGCCTAGAAGAAATATGCTGTTTGTTAATGTATTTGGCAAGAAGTATTTACTGTAAGTTATCTGTATTAATTCTAGTGTTGTGAAGGTTCAAGGAATAACTTGCTAAATATTGTATTAAATTATTTAAGGTTTTAAGGACGACGATGAATATTTAAAAGAAACTGAAAGTTACGAGTATGATTTGATAGGCGTGACAGTTCATACAGGAACAGCAGATGGTGGTCACTACTACAGTTTTATCAGAGATATAGTCAATCCCCATGCTTACAAAAACAACAAATGGTGAGTTAAGTGTTTAATAATTCTTGTTTGTGATGTATTTGTATTGTGATGTATTGGTAAATTCTTAAGGTGACAATGTCATCTATTTCAAATACGGTACTTTAACTCCCTTGCTTGAACTGTCCTGTTAAATAATTGCAAATATTTTTATTTATCAATTTATCTTCTTCCAATCAACAAACATTTTCTCCTGGTTTTGGTGGGGCCTTTAAAAGAGGGTGAGCATTGGGTGAATTGATTAGAAAGTAGCTATTTAGAATCCACTGTATGTTCTCTATTAAACTCTAGAAGTTTAAAGATAGGTCAGATTTTCCTACATTTCTTGCTTGTGTTACATCAGTTTTGTAAAGTTTATTAACTTTGCCATGCCAGTAGTGCGGACCACCATATGCTGTTAATCCTGGTTGCATGTGTTCAGCACAATTCCAGATGCAGGTGATAAGATTGTAGAGAATCAGTGTACATGCTTGTGTAATAACTTTGATGTATGCAAGACATACATGAAGCAGAACAAAATTATTACTCTTTACACTGTGTGCTTTTTTATGCTAATTAATATTGCAGTAAAATGTATTATTAGCAGTTGAATGCACATTAACAACTTCGGTAAGGTGACTAGGTTTCTGTATGTCAGAGATGCCAATCTTTGGAAGATAATGTTTACATTTCCTTTTGTAAAGCAGATTCAGAAAAAAAAACCCAACTTGTTTCCATTATGATTATAATTATTCTTTGTCCTTCAACTTTGTCCTTTTTGTTTTGTCAGTTTTTAACTATCAATTTTCATGGAGGTGCTTAACTTTTCATTTTGCTTTTCTTTAAATCTATTCAACTCTACATCTGGGAAATTCTCCATTGTTACACTTCAGTTATCAAAATTTGTTCTTACTGTACTTTGATACATGCAAAATATTGTTTTGTCTCATCTGGAATTTACAAATTTGCTAGTGTTTTCTAAGCTGTTGAATTTTCTCAGTGTTCAACATTTACCAGATGTAATTAACAGTGGTATGTCTGAAAATTTTGTAGCCTTTATTTTTTCTATCCCCACTAGAAAAGGGAAAGGGAGGGAGGCAGTTCCTCTAGCAGAGGTCTTTGGCAGAGACCTCCTCTTGTAACAGTCATGTCCATTTTAGCTGAACATCACATTCATATTATAATGTTCTTTAATGGGGCTACTTTTGGAAAAACCTTGTATCAATCTCCTTGCTTAGTGGTGTTGGATTTTAAGACTCTGGCGTTGCCCTTTTCTTCTCAAGTTTTTGTGACTTCTCTTGTTGATCATGGTTCAGAGGAAGAAAAGATGTCCTCTGACTTAGAAAAATAAATTTTGCTCCTTTCCTAAAACATTAAAGATCTAGATCCATCTATCCATCCAGGGTTCCTTTGGCTTTCAGTAGTCTAAATGATATTGTGCTGGACTCCCTCAAGCTGTCCACTAAGATCCTCAGCTCTTCTATATTTGTTTGCTGAGCATTATGAGATTTGTCCATGAAGGCAGGGTATCTTGTTCCACCTCTGTTACATAGTATTTCCCTTAACAAGGAATATCATTTTTTGTGAGAAACAGTGGATTCAACCCCCCTCTAACTTGTCAGGCAACAAATTTAGATTTTCAGAAAAGAGAACTAGGTCCTCTTCATTGGAAAAAAAGTCAGTCCTTTACAGTCAGATGTTCCTTCAGCTGTCTAAGGGTTTGTCTACACTACAAGAGTAGTTCGATTGTACTTAAATCGAATATGTGGAATCGATATTACAAAG